ACCCACCCACCCCAGGAGCGCTTCTCTGTCTCTGCAGGGGCCACACAGTCCGGACGAGACAGTAAATATTCAACCGTTTAATGCCGAATGCTTTCACCAGTTGTGTAGGTACACAGGCAAGGAAAATGCGTAGGTATACGTGCATTGGTGAGCCAAAACTATTCCCTCCTTTATTTGTATCCTTTTTTCTCTTGCTTATAATGATTGTTAAAAAAACAGCAATTGTATTTTTCTTCTAGATTGTATTGTCTGTCATTTATATCTGTCTATTTATGAATGTGATGAGTGGGTTTTCCCCCTTTTTAAATTCTTGTGTTTAAATTTGAATGTCTTTCACAATAATGCAGTGAGCCCTAGGTGTGGCTTAGCTTTTAATTTATATAGGAGGGTAATAACAGCAGTAGAGGGAGGGACAAAAAATAGCGGGTTCATCCCCCCCCCCAGTTTCTTTATGTTTTTTGGTCCCCCCCCCCCTCCCTTTTAAAGAATTCAGGCTGACTGCAAAGAATGCCACAGTGTGCTCATGTGCGAGAGGCTAAACAAACTTCTCTGTGGTGTAATGAGTTAGATGTGCGTGCGTATGTGTGCTGGTGGCGAGTGCGTGTGACAATTAGAGGGCAAGCGTGTGTGTGTGTATGTACATAAAGTGCTTTGTGGCCGTAGCCTGTTCGTGCGCTAACATGGAGCCGTGTCACCCGTCTAGGAAGAAGAAAAATCTAAGCGGGAGGAGCTGGAAAAAATCCTGGAGGAGAATAACCGCAAGATCGCCGAGGCTCAGGCCAAGCTGGTACGCCCTGCTCTGAACAACCGTCGCTTCTCTTCTGCCTGTTTCTGCATACATTTCTCTCATTTCTGTCACATTTCTAACCCTGAATTTAAACATTTCTGCATGCCGACCTCAGCACGTAAAAAAGGACTAGCACTATTAATCTAGATAATGTGTTTATGTAACATTTTAACACAAGTTATAGTTTCTTCCTGGATTCACGTTATATTTATATCCCACATCGTTTTCAAAAAATAAATGGAACTGTCCTGATCGCATCCAGTGATAAATCACATCACTCCTATGAACTGAGTCCAGTAAGAAAAACAGACGCGCATCATGTCTGGTTTATGTGCTTTTAATGTCCCTTATGTGTCTTTAATTACAAATATCTGTCCTCCACTGATTGAGACCTCAAGGCTTTCACCACACCACAACATGACCGAATAACTGAATAGTCCTTTGGCAAGGACTTGTTCTATTGAGTGGCTCTGAACTGATGCTTATCAGCCGTGGTTAACAATCCAGTGGGTTTTGTTTTTTCCCTGTTGGCTATGTGAGCTTGAGTTTGTCTAATTTGTAAAGCAGTGTTTATTTGATTCAGGCTTGATTTGGACAAGCTGTATCAAACAGCTGCACACTAAAAAAAGAAAGAAAAGCAGACACAGGGATGCTGAATCTTAAAGGGGGGATAAAGAAAACGCCAGCAGTTTGTGGGCACTTGGCTCCAGGGATCTGGTCCTGTGTCCCCGTCTGACCCTATTGTTTGTGCTGCGTGCTTTCTCCGACAGGCTGAGGAACAGTTGCGTATTGTGGAGGAGCAGAGAAAGATTCACGAGGAGCGCATGAAGCTGGAGCAGGACCGTCAGAAACAGCAGAAGGAGGAGCAGAAAATCATCCTCGGCAAGGGCAAGTCCAGGCCCAAGCTCTCCTTCTCCCTCAAGGCCACCGAATGAGACTGCTCCCCCCTTCGTTCCACATGTCACGCCCTGCCTTCATCCCCATCCAGCGCTCCCTCCTCATCGTCCGACCCCGCTCCTTCTCCTCCTCCTACTCCTCCGCCTCTGTGGAACGCTCGCTTCGTTTTGGAAGTGCAGAAGGAAGGCCGAGGAAAGGGGTGCAACAACCCGGCGTGTTAACTGGCTCGTCCCTGCGAAGGCCCGCGTTGTTCCTCCCGGCCTTGAAGAGGAGGCAGCTCTTCGCCCTCGAAGGACCTGACTGCTCCCTCCATCCTTCCTCATCCCCGCCGCACAGATGACTCTTGTTTGTGCTTTTCTTTTCTCCTCGGTTTTATTTACATTTTTAGGGAACTTGAACTTTTGATGTAGAATGCTATAACATGTCCCTCGCCCCGCAAGTCTTAACTCTGGTGTAACAGCGAGCAACTGTGCGCCCGTGCTCTTCTTACATGTCTTCACAGCCAGCAAACTACAATAGAACGCCAGTCCCTGATATAGAGGAGTATGTGTGACTTTGTCTAGTTCAGTGTACTGTAAAAGCTCATGCGCAGCTTGGGAGTTGGCCTGTGGTTTCCCCCCGTTTTTCATTTAAAAAAAAATAAAAAATAAGGTTCCTAAAATGGCTGACGCAGTAAAATCACAGCGCAGCCTTTAAAAGCACAGTTAACTTCCCGTCCAGCTGACAGGTTTGTGTCTTCCACCTCCCTTACTTCCTTTGCCCATAAGCTCTGTTCACCACGTAGATCCACAGCTTCTTTTCGTTCTGCTTCAGCTGTCTGCCATGTATATAATTTTTTTCTAAAGGACAGAGCAGAGCATGTTGAGAGGAAATGTAAAGCTTGTGTTCGATTTGAAGTCGCTGCAGTGCAGGTGAACTCAGCCTCCACTCCCAAGCTACACATGACTGAACCACAAACCAACAGGATATATGTCTCGTCCACGATAAGGGGGCCCTGTGGGTTAACGGAGGGGGGAGAGAGAGAGAGGGGGGACGTTTCCTGTGTGATGTAATGTTAATAGCCTTGCTGTGATGTCCTGACTCCCACTCCACCTCCTCCTCCAAGTTGCGATTGTGTTATGAAATTGATCCACACGATTAGAAAACAAAAAGTCACGGTAATGGTTCATACTTGGTTTATTTTTATCAGACTCTTTGGGGAGGGGGGGAACTGTGAATTGTACGAGAACACCCGACCAACACAGTCCATGTTCTGTCCCTGAATTTAGTTTGTAGTAAATTAACGTGGCAAGGCGCCTCACTTGGTAAGTCTTGATTCGTAGAGGATGGACAAGTTCAGGTAAGATAAGGTTTGAGGTCAGCAGCAGTGCGAGTGTGTGAGAGTGAATGAGAGAGAGAGAGAGAGAGTGTGTGTGTGTGTGTTTGACTGACAGGCTGATCTCAGGTGGGTATAATGACTTTTTGTTATGTTGTGGGATTTTTTTGAATTTGTCATGTAATTTCCCCCGATTGTCAAGGGACTGAACAGTTCAATAAATCCATTGAATGCCTCCTGGTGTGTGTGTGTGTGTGTGATGCTCTTAATCTGAATATATATCTGAGGGAACATTTAAAGAAGTGCAGCGTAAACCTACTTGAACTCTGTTTACTTAAAGTCCCCCTCCACTCAGATCTGTTTTTCTTGTCGTTCCTACAGTGTGATGTCTGTGCAGAGTTTCACCCTAGAAGGATATTTTCACATTTATCTGCTGAAAGTGGAAAGTTTCTGAGCTCACTGAACATCAGATTTTAAGGGCCGTGGCCTACGATCACAAATGGTTTGGAAAGTCAGTCCTGATCCAGTATGCAACTCGTATAGTATGATGTAGAAACCTGAAGCCACCAGTGCACACACACTGAGAATGGACTTTACAGTGAAGGAGGAGACGTCTTGTGTCCAGCAGGAGCACTTTAGACAACAACAACATTTGCATAATCATCGGTTCTGGAATTTTTATTGATGTAAAATGAGTAGATGCTTTTTTAAAGGATTTTAATGTCGAAATTATACCTTTTTGTTGTTGTAGAGAAATAAGGTAGACATTTTTGTTCCAAGTACACTATTTGTATAAGTCATAATACATCTGGAGGGGATCTTTAAAATTGGCTTTATCGAGAGTCAACCTCACAAATGAAGGTCCAATTGCGAATTGGAACGGCCTTAATTTAAACTGAAGTCACTTCACACAATCATTTTAAATAAGTAGTCATTTGACCTGGTCAATGACAAATTTTAATGGCATTACTGGCACCGCCTTGTGTTTTGTCAGTGGGTTATTGCACACTACGATCCATTTTCTACCCTTGAGCCGTGCGGGACCAATACATCAACGTCAAGTTAACGAAATCCCTGCAACAACACCACCTAATTAGTTGGCAGCTCCAGTTTGAGACTCCTGCAGCCGCTGGTTTGTGTCCAGGCTGCTGTGACTGAGATCACTGCAAACCGAGCCGTGAGTTCAGCAGACCACGGCCTGGCCTCGGTCTCCTGTTCACTGGATTAAAGTCAATGATAAATAACCTCAACAAATACACACTGATACTATGGAAGCCCATTTCCACCAATGTAAGGGTGGGTGGGGGGAAAGGATACTTTGAGTCATATAATGAGAAACCTCCAAATAATGAGAAACTTTTAAGATACCGTCATTATTTTGAGTAAACGTCTCAAAATATTGAGAAAGTTTCTCATTATTGTGAGATGCTAAATCATTATTTTGACATCATAAATCAAAATAATGAGCAATTCTCATTGTTTTTCTTATTATTTTGAAATACTAAATCATTATTTTGTAATAAAAATAAATAAAAAGTATTGAGAAAGAGTCACTATTTTGAGATTCTAAGTCATTAGTTTGAAATACTAAATCATTTTGAGAAGGTTTCTTATTATTTAGAGATTCTAGGTCATAATTTTCGAGATACTTAGTCACTATTTTGAGAATATTTCCCATTATAATGATTTACAATTAATTTTTTTGTCGCATTGGCCGTAATGGGCTTCCATAGATCTCAGAGCGGCATTTGGAAACAGTTTGATTTTAACGGGCGAGGACTTTAAAACTAATGAATCCAATTGTAACTGCCGACTACATTTAAAGGTGCCTGTGAAGCAGTGATGGATGTAGATATGAATGTTTGATTCAAATGATTAATTATTAAACTCTGGTCACCAGATTAGAGGAGCGACGCTGCTCTGCTCATGAATTAGATTATTCTCATAAAATGATGACTTGTATGTCAACATGTGTGACCCGCATGAGGTTGTGGTTTAGAGTGTCCATCACCAGCATCCGTAAGAAGGAAACAGAAGGAAGTCCCGCGTCCCCCCGACAGCCAGCGGCCCCGGTGCCAAGAGCTCCACCGCGGCCTGCCCTGTGCGCGCTGCCCCGCTGCTGCCGGTCTGCCCCCGCCGGTCTGCCTCAGCCGGTCTGCCTCAGCTCCGCAGCTGAGTGAGTCAAGTAATTAAAACAAGGAGGAATTTTAGTTGGTAAGAAAACAGCTGGCTTTGTAAAGTGTTTTTCCCCCCACAAACCAATTTTATAGAAAAACAGAGAAGGCAACTTGGAACTGCTCAGAGAGAGAATACAGGCGGCAAAGAAAGAGCTGATTCATATGTGGAGCTATTATTATTATTAGTTAGTATTTTCATTACAAACTGAGCTTCTCAGACACTTTTTTTGCACTTACTTGAATTAAATTATCAGTCTGTCTGAGAATTTCCATTTCATCCACTTTATCTTTGAGCATTGTGGAGGACAACAATAGTCCGACTCCTGTCCAAACTGCTTTCCTGTTTGCAAGTGTCAAGCACAAAGATTCACAGTTGAGTGTGTGTGAGAGTGTGTGTGAGTGTGTATTTCCCAGCTCTTTGTGTGAGCCGGGCTGGGCTTCAGAAGAGACTCTCCGCAGCCATCCCCCGTCCGACGGCGGGGCTGATGCGGGCTGATGCGGGTCGCTCAGCCCCGCATCAGCCCGCGGAGGAAGGAAGAAACAGGGTTAAAAATAAAAGAAACTCGGAACTTTCTCCGCACTGTCAGCCACACATTCTCACTCAAACATACATTTAAGGACTCAAGAAAAGTTCAACTACACATTGGTATTAAAATGCAGTGACAGAGTTACAGTGTGAAGTCCCGGCTGTGGAACCGCTTTAATGACGATGAGAATGGGCAGGTTTAAGGAATATTTTTATTGTGAGGGAAAAAAAAACAATTAAAATACATTATGGGTTTTTTTCCAGACACTTTTATTTAATTTTAAAGATGAGTGAAACTCGATTTAAAAGTCCTAAACTCTTCTGAAAACGTATTATACATATTCTAAGTCCCAAAAGAAATATTATAGAAATATTTTAGGGTGGTCTCCAGCCAGTAAAGAAACCTAAATTTAAATATTTAGAGAAAGTTGTGCAGGGGCCCCGTGCACAGAGCCGCACATGTCAGCCTCGTTAATCTAATATACATTCCCTGTTTGAATGCAATGAATGTAATGCTGCTGCAATAAACAGCCAGTCTGAGCTGCAAGCTCTCCTGTGTTTATTCCGGGGACAGAAGTGGGGATCGGACTCGTCAATTATCTTCCCGGTGTTATATCAGCCTGATTATCAGCTAAGCAAACAGCGGCTGCCTTTAAAAAAAAAACAGCCCTGATCGAATTAAGTCGTTAAAAAGTGTCAAAACTTCACACTTTATATTCGGGGAGATGCGCTGTGCGGCTGCCAGAGGTGTGTGTGTGTGTGTGTGTGAGTGTGTGCTCGTTAAATTAGAGGCCATTGACTAAAAATTCAGTGTTTGCAGAGAGTGTGAATGTGGCATCTCAATCAGGCTTTGAAGGAACTTTTGTTAAAATAATGTTTTAGTAGTTCAGGAAGCAATTATGCAGCACAATACAGGGTTGAATTATGGGAATAATAGGAACAGATTTTTTTTGTCCTCATAAGGAAGAAAATCAGTAAAAAATAAAATAAAATAAAAAGCTCTTAACTTCTCAGAAGTGT